GTTAAGCTTTGATAAAAATGTATGATAATTTATTGTACATGAAAAAAGAAAATTAACTTATTTTTAACTAAGCTAAGTTACTTTTTTTTCAAATTAACTTTTAACGAGTTAAATAAATAAGAAAACTAACTTTTAACTTTAAACTTAACTTACATTTTTCTGTATTAACTTAACTTAACGAGTTAAAATAATTAGTTAACTTGCCCAGCCTTGCCTATATGATATTTAATTTTTTAAAGATAATTAAAATATTAAAATAGATAATATCACAACTCAACTCTTCCGCTAGTAAATGTAAATAATTATATGAGTGTATTTTTATAGGAAACTTTAATTTTTTTGCTTTGGAATTCGCACTTTTTATTCTCGCTATTTTGAATTAGACCAGCTTGAAAAATTTCCAGTATTTAGTTCCTCAATGATTTATTTATGCATCATGACCTCGTGCCTCTTTGGCAGTTTTTATTGTATATTTGTATGTTGTATTAGCTGGGAAGCATGTACTTGACACTCTCTTGGCTGGCACTTGCAGGGAACTTGGTTTCCGGCTGTTTGGTTGATTCAGTCTTGCGACCGGAAGTGGATCCCTGGCATTGCACGCTGTTGATATCGGATTCGATCGTTTTATTTGCTTCCTTATTGTATTCGGTTTTCAGACGGTTCTCGAAGCCAACATTAGAATCTTTGTTCAAATGTGACCCGACCCATCCCTTCTTTATACCATAGTTCCTGACCAGCTTTCTGGTCTTGCTCTTCGTCAGAAGCTTCATCAGTTCCTTTTTGAATCTCGGGTGCGTGATAGCATAAAACCACGGGTCCGTGCAGCTAGAAACTTTACAAAACAACGCCGGGATCATTGAGCTCAACGGTGAGATGTAATCCTTCAGGTCGAATACGCCTAGGAGTGCAACCACGGCGTATGGCGTCCACGATACAAACCACAGCGCCAGAGCTCCGATCACCATGTACCCCAGTCGTATATCTGTTTTCCTCTTCTCCTCTTGTTGACCAACCCTGCTGGTGACTATTTCACTGGTCATCCACACCGTCATCAGTATATTCACGTAACAATACAATATTATTGTGAACGGTATGCACCACGCAGCCGTAAAGAATACTAGGATAAACCTCTTGTCTCGGTCGTCGTCTGACAGGTAGTCGAAGCTGCAGCTAGTCAGATAACCTTCCGACACGTACTGGCTGTACCCCAAATCTAGTACCGGAACGATGGAGAACGAAAATCCATAAATCCATATCAGACCTATCCACATCTTGGCCCTTTGCTTAGTGGTTTTCACGGCTGCTTTCAAAGGGCACACTATAACGTAATACCGATCCAGGGATATGGCTGCCAACGTCATAATGGACACGGTTCCAGTCAAGCCACCAAGAAATCCACATAACTGACATCCTATAAGTTGACGTAAAATATTATTAAAGTACCGCCAAATTGTTGTAAATGTCATATAATAATGTAAAATTTCATACCCAATTTCCCTAGCGCAGGGCCAAGGTAATAACTGTTGTAAATGAATACCGAGGCTTTTGCTAACATGATAAAATCGCTAACAGCTAAGTTTATTATTAATATGTTCGCAGGCGTTTGTAAAGATTTGCATCTGAAAAATTGTTGACACATAAATTCACAATTATTTATACTTGCTTATAAAATTGTTATCACATGTGATAGGTAGTTGTTAAGTCATAATTGGATACATTTTTATTTTTATTTTAAGTGTGAGTAATAGTGCTACATGTATTTTAGTATGATATATACACAATATTGATGAAATAATCAATACTTCTTATTACCTAATTAATCATAAATTGTAATGTATAAATACTACAAAAGTTATAACTATCTAGTCAAACGCCAAAGTATAATTTTTTGAATTATTAAATTATTAGGTAGGTTAGATACCTATAGTTACATCTGTTCTTTTTTAAATTAATGATATCATTTGATTATTGTGTTTTTGTCTGTAATGTATTGGAATAATTGGAATAAATTTCAAAAGTTTAATTACTATGGAAAACGAGCACAAAACAGTATTATCTATATAAAAGTTCACAAGTTTTTTGTGGTAAAAATAAAATGTAGTCCTTACAACTTGAGTAGAATGAAAATTAAAGTATACGTAGGTCATAGATGTGGCATCTGATTGATAATAGGTATTCATACAATCCTACCTCACTTGATAATATGATATTACTGTGATATAAAAAATATATACTTACTTAAAGTACATGAAAATCACCAGAGAGTTTCCGGTGCATCCAAATACCATGATGATGGTGTATAGAAGTCCGAGAACGTAGTGCGAAGTTGGATTGGGAGGCATGAATTTTAACCAATGGCTATTGATTAGTTTAATATAATCATCTGTGTAGAACCCATGATCTTTCCACAAGTTAACGGGATATTTGGTCTTAAAGTCTATCATGACTATGAACTGTGATTATACAATATAAGGTTTTGAGCAACGTTGCTTGTTCTCCTTGTTAGCTAAGCCGTCATCGCGTTATGTAGTACTTCAATGTATTTTTCTATAAAAGTTCTAAATTTTTGTGATGTCTTATTTGTAAATTTGTAATACCTAGTGAACTTTTGAACGGCAGCAATACAATAAGGCAAAACTTCAGCCGTATCAAACACGACATGAGTAAAATCTTCTAGACATACAAAATATTTATGGACTAATAAAATTAAGCATGTTTGATTTTTTTTTTAAGTTTTTGGAAGGTTTAGCTATGTTGAAAACCTTGAGGCTAGATAATTGACTTAGTGTAGATGAAAAAATTTCAAAATTCATTTCGAGCTTGTTAATTTTGAAAAAAAACTCAATAGAATGTTGTCGTGGAGAGTGTTGACCATATTAGGTTAAAGTTTGTCACTTTATAATTCACATCTATACATGTATATTGTATAGTGTATAGTGAATACAGTAGGTATACCGTATTGGTTCTGAAAAAAAAATCATATTGCTTAATGTTTAATTTTATTATATTATATACGTTACATATTTGTATTGTGTATACAGGATGATTCTTTTAAATGGGTACACTAATTATCTCGAAAAGTATTTACTTTTTTCAAAATATTTATTACATGGCTTCAAGTTGTTAAAAAACCAACGTTTTTATTATAAAATTTTATTTTTAAATATTTTTTATCCTTATCATTTTTTAATTTTTTAACTTTTTTGAAAGACAACATAGAGTTTTAATTTCATATTCCAAAGTAGAATATTTTTCTAAGTATTTTGATTCATAAAAATCGAATTTAGGGCTAGTAGTTTTTGAGTTATAAGTATTTAAAGTTTTGATTGGCAGAGTGTACTAGTAAGGGATTACACCGCAAAATGTTTGTCCACTACTTCGCTTGTCTAAACTTGAAATACATATAACTCATAAACTACTCGTCCTAAATTCGATTATTATGAATCAAAATACTTAGAAAAATATTATGCTTTGGAATATGAAATTAAAACTCTATGTTGTCWTTCAAAAAAGTTAAAAAGTTAAAAAATGATGAGGATAAAAAATATAATTTTTTAATAAAAACGTTGGTTTTTTTACATGTTGAAACTATGTAAAAAAATATTTTGAAGAAAATAAATACTTTTCGAGATAATTAGTGTACCCACTTAAAAGAATCACCCTGTATAGAAATTTATATAAAATATCAGTAAGCATATTATATATTTTTAATGATCGATCAAATGATATGGTGGTAAACTACTGACTTTAAACCGTTTAATGATAACAAAGAAAATTATATTATTTAAATGCAACAACAGTGGAAAATCATGCATTGTATATTTAATTAATCATTAACACAYAATGAATAGGATATCCATTTTAGGATGTTTTGACAACAATATGAGTGGGCCTATTCTGATAAAACTTCAATACCAATTCATCATATTATGCTAAATACTATCAAATATCTATCAATTTCCTATTGGCTATTCCTCTATACAAAATCGATAGATTTTATTTCAATTATGCAATAACGAATCTAAACTCCTATTACAATTTATTAGTGAATCGTTCAATCGATTGAAACAATAATAAACAATTACACAATTTGATGTAAAATATCACATGTTCAGTAGCATGACTGAGTTTGTATATTATGTGCGTGTGGAAGGCGAAAGCATGAAATAAACGCACAGATTACCCCACCTCTCTTGAAGTTGCACACACTAATGATAATTTGTAATAAATAAACTCACACACACCCACACTTGCTGCATGGGATATAGGCTTCTATAATGAACACCTCAAATATGGTCGATATAGCATTATACCACCATCTTCTTCAAAACTAAATTCATCTTTAATAATCGCATGATCATAATATTTATTTTGATAGCTGATACCTTTACAAACACGAGTTTCCAAACTTTCTAGACTGTGCACAGCGAATATATTAAAAAATAGTGGAACTACTTAAACTTTATTSATTTTTCGCCGTATACAAAAATAAAATGCTGTAACACCTAAATATATTTATCACCCCGTTGAGATAAAAAATGTAAAAGACACGTGAGTTAAGATTGAACTAAGCTAAAGCCTAAAACTCCATATCAAGAGTTAAAAATATTTAATGAAAGTAGTTAAGCTTTATACTTACTCTTGCGTTTTTCTGGAACGATACACATGTACGTACTTTCTATTCACAAATCTAACTAGGTTCTAAAGCCGTTGATTTTTTCCTAATACCACCAAGCCTCTAGTAATTCTAATATTAGTTGGTACTGTTTAATCTTTTACACTCCTTGAACTACCTTGCCTTATGTGCCCTTCAAGCACGCATGTCTTGTGGCCAATCCGCCATAACAGGCAAAGTTACAAACCACGAGACCTTGGTGGATTGAGCATAATGGAGTTTTACGTTATACTTAAGTGAAAAGTGAAAGGAATTACTCAAATTAGGGAAAATTTATGATTATAATAGATAGATGCTGGTGGTTGAACAAAAAAAAAATTTTAATGTGGGTAATTAAAAGGGAACGGACTTTAATGTCATAAAAAATAAGAAAAATGTCTAAAAAATGCCTTGAAAACACAACGTTGAACTTAAAACTTATAAAAAACACATTAAGTTAATTCAACAGTATAATACAAAATTAAAATTTATATAAATAGCTTATCTTTACCTAATTGTATGTAATATGTTGTAACTTGTATGTGTGTACATACGTGTGTCATTTCATGTCATTTCATATACGTGTCAACCATAATTTCGTCTGGAGTCAGGGTTAATTTGATCTGTAAAAACATAATAAATATTTATTTAAATTTTTTTAGAATAAATTTACTAAATTTTTATCGAATTTTATCCATTCCTATATAAAATKACTTTAAAAAAAAACATAAAAATGCACTAAAAATGTCTAAAAATGAAATTATGTCTTAAAAATACCAAAAAATGTAAAATAAAAATTACAYTATTTAATACCTTGATGTATGAAATGAATTTTGTGCTTTTATTACTTATGCTTCTCGAATTTGAATTATTCTCTAGAATTTGGCAATTTGTACAACTCCAAAAATCCAAACACTTATTTAAAAAAAACTATCGTTATAACACTATAAAAATAAAAAAGGTGGACAGCTGTATCATAAGCGATACCTAAACGTTGGTATGTAAACACTATTTTACTATTATATGTCAAGATTATGATGATCTTAATAATAATAACTTAAGATATACATGATATCTGCTACAAATGTACCGCTGATTAAATAATAAAGGTGGAAATTAAGACTGTTATTACTTATTAGGTTGGTACCGAATAAGCATCTGATAGGCAGTTAATAATACACAATTAATATAAAAATAATAAATCATTGTATAAGACAAGGGTATGAAGTAAAAAGGTATTTAGTGGTTAAAAATGATCATCACACACGATGTTAGGCCTGTAGCTTGTGTAACGAAATTGCTGTGTGGGGAGTGACAGTTTCGCATTAAAAATACGAATCGTACGATACCTATATATACCTATACACTAGTTCTGTAGCAACAATTTCTGTTCACCTCACGTATAAAATATTTCTTCTTTAAAACGAATTTGGAACATACTGGTCATTTGAATTATGTTTTTATATTAATATTATAATGTTTATAATTTTATGTTACCTCACGAAATGACCCGCCAGCGCCACCGCACGCCACGGGAATAGAAAACGGCGTCGTACTACTCCATCTTCGGGAGCAGTAAAACTCAGCAGGGAAAATGTTAAGTGGCGCCTGGAAGAGTGACACTCGTGAACAGCGTAAACGAGATAAAAAAAATAACGGAAACACTTTCCAGAATGCACCCGTTTCTGCRGTGAAACCACAAAATAGAAAACAGAAAGAGAGGGAGTGAGAGAGAGAGTTACTGTAGCTATAGTTGGGCGGAAGGAAAAACATATCATATGGAATACATTAAGAATTACAGTGGAAAGGGAAATTATAGATTGCGACAGGGGCCAGAGAGCAAGTACATACTATTTTAATGTATAATATATGTATGAAATAATAATAGTAATAATAATCTCAAAGCTAATTATTACGGTAGCGGCAATGGTGGTTTCGATATTTTAATGAAACTCGAACCATATAATAATATTGTAATGTGTTGATGATAATATAGTACATGATATACGGCATTGCTATTCGGTGCGGGCATAATACATAATCAGCCGACGTTGTTCATAGCAGGCCAACAAGGCGACGATATTATACGCACCTATACCTCTATGACCATATAGGTATATGTAATAAGTACCTACATTTAAAAGATTTTATGTATTTAAAATATGTTTTAAAAAAATAGCTGTAAATTAAAAAATATTTTAAATGCTTCATTTGTTATTTTATATATTCATAAATACTATAAATACTAAAATAATTTAAAATATCATTTTATGGTAAATTCTACAGATATGAATGTCTTCAGTTCTCCACTGGATAGTAAAATATTTTTACTTATTCATCACATAAAATTATGTATAATGTATATAATACCTATGAATACAACTAAATTCGCACACAATAGAAAAATAATTTCAGTCCTGAAGAGCTCCCTTATAGACAACTAATCTATAGGTAAGTATTTAAAAAATATTTGTACGTTTATATATTTATATTTGTATTTGAATACTTATTAGAAATATTTAAATTATATTTAATTACTATTTAAATAAATTTAAAATAAATTTTTAGCAAGTTAMCGAAAACCCCAMCTCATCTGCCGTTCAAATATAACGAGGTTAACTTAATGCACAATTTCTATGGAATATTATAATATTATATGCATACCTATTGTCGGCTATTTACATAATCATATTTATTATAAATTTACTATTTTATGTTGAATTTGTCTTTTAGAAAAATCGATTTAARCAAAMAAAATCGTATTGTAAATTTTTCTTTTAAWATTATGATAGTTTATAATAATCAAAAAACTTACAACTGAAATGTTAATTATATTGTATCACTTGTCATGTTTGATGATTAAACACCTATAATATACCTAATACTGTGAAATAATTTAAAAGTTGAAATCACAATTAATGCATTTTTTAATACTTATACCTACGTGTTCACACAATATTTCGTAATCGTGTGTTTCTACAAGTTTATTGACAAATTATTTAAATACTCTTTAAGATTAGAAGGTAGCTTATATTTCAATGAAAAGCTGTAACACATATGAAGGTAGGTACTTATATCTACACGCTGTATATTGCAGTTATAACTATTACTGTAGCATAGTACCATAATAAGCAGGTTGTAATGTACTTTTCGTTATTTATAATAATATAGGAGTCATGTAGTTATCTTRATTGGAATTAATCCAAGAAAATTGGTAAATTTGAAATTTGTTCTACTCTACTTTTAAAAATCTTGAGGAATATATACTTATATATCTAATTCAACTCTCCTATA